GCTTTGCCGGAGTGTGCCGGGGACGGGGCGGGCACGGAGACCTTTGGCAGCCCGCGCCCGCGATCTGAGCTTAATTAAACTTCTCCCGAGGCATTGGCTGACTGATTGACCCAGTGATCCAAAGAAAATCACAGAGGCCCGAATCGCCCTGTGAACGCCACGGGAGAGGGAAGTTGGGGAGTTGGCTTTCGATTTCCAGAGCTGGGCCTTTCAATTCAGCCTCCCTCCCCTGAGCTCTCCCCAATCCACGATGCCATCGGGGCTCAAAAATTCATCAGGGCCTTCTCCATCGCTTTCCTGAGCTCTCACTTCACAAGAAAGGGAAGAGCAGTGGTTACAGGGGGGGGGAAGAGGCAACGTTTTTTTTGTTTTGTTGTTGTTGTTTTTGTTAATCCTCGCCCGAGGATATTTCTCCATTGATCTTTTAGAGGGAATGGAAGAGAAAGGAAAAGACAGAGAGAAACATCGTTGTGAGAGAAACACATGGATTGGTTGCCTCCTGCATGAGCCCTGACCAGGGCCCTGGCCAGGGAGGAGCCTGTAACCAAGGTTGCGCCCTTGACCTGAATCAACCAAGGACCCTTTGGTCCTCAGGCCAAGGAAGAGGCAAAGTTTTGATAGGATCTTGATCTGTCATTTTCCCAGCCTGCGTTCTCCACCCATATGCCTTAGGGTTTTTTGTTGTTGTTTTTGCAGAAGGGAACATGGCATTATAGATTATTTCCCCAAAATTTCAGCCTTTCAAGTATTGCCTGCATGATTTTCTTCCACAGTCCACCTATATTATATTTTTAATTGACTTTTATTTTACTTTACTAACTTGCCTTATTCTTTAAATTAACTTTAAATTGATTCCCTTTTTCTACATAGCCTTGCCCTAAGCAATAACATTAGCGAAACCACAGCTTTGGTGTGCTAGTCACATATTTTAATACACTTGAAAATAAATTTATAACTATCCAAATAAAAAATGTACATGTTAGCTAAAAGTTTCTTGCTGCTACATTTGGAGAAAAACTCCAGAGGTAATAACAATAATGGTTAACATGTGTTGAGTGATGGCCAATGTCCCAGGCACTGTTGTAAGCACTTTAACTATTCCACGTCCTTATGACACCTTAGAAGGTGGGTGTTCTTTACATTTTACAGAGGAGAAAAGTGAGGCACAGAGAGGTTAAATTACTTGCCTAAGATCACCAAGTCAGGATGAAAACTCTACTGAGACTAGAGCAGTGGTTCTCAACCTTCTGGCCCTTTAAATACAGTTCCTCATGTTGTGACCCAACCATAAAATTATTTTCGTTGCTACTTCATAACTGTCATGTTGCTACTGTTATGAATCGTAATGTAAATATCTGATATGCAGGATGGTCTTAGGCAACCCCTGTGAAAGGGTCGTTCGACTGCCAAAGGGGTCGCGACCCACAGGTTGAGAACCGCTGGACTAGAGCCTATACTGCTGGCCTATCGAAGAGGCTAAGTTACTGGGGAAGATCACCCAGGTGGTTAGTCAGTCTGCGTTTGAACCCAAGTCTGGCTGACTCCAGAACTGAGCTCTAACTCCTTCCTGCCTATTTTCCCAAATCTCGCCTCATACAGCCTTTTTATCTGTCTGCCTCCTTGGAATCCAAAAGATGCTTCCAAGTATTTCTCTCCTCACCCCCTACATCTCCCCTTCTCTCTCCCTCTGGGTGGAACAAAGGTTCTCATTTCTAGTGTTTTATTCTCTTCTCCAAACTAAGTACCCCATAAATCTCCCATGCCTACTTTGAAGGTCCTATCTACTTCCCTCCATTGGCCAGAGAACTGCTTAGAAATTCCAACTATTAGCATCGCCAAACTACATTTCCCAGACTGCCATTCTCACCTGGAAAGAGAACAAAAATCCTATGTCAAACCATGTGGCTCCTATTTTGGGGTTGGAAAATCTGGTCACTAGCTTGGATAAAGATTGGTATGCCCATAGACTAATTCTTCTGGCCCAATACAGACATGTATTTCCCAGGCCTCAATGATTGGAGAAAAAAATGGTGTGTGTGTGTGTGTGTGTTGGGGATTATTTCAGCAAACAAAACCTTCAATTAGAGGCATAAATGAAGACTTGGCCTAAGACTTCTAAAAGATGGCTGACCCATGCCCAGTAGATATATTTTCTGTCTTCAACAACCCCTACCACCACCACCCCTTCCCTCTCTTCACTTCCTTTTCCTTCCCCTTCTTCCAGATTCTTCTCTTAATTGTACCATTGTGCCACTCCTTTGCTCCCCAACCCCCATGCCCACACCCACTCTTTAACTGTTTAGTATAAAAATCCAGCCCACCAGACTGAGGTTTTCTTCCATCCAAATGTTATTTTCAGAAGGAGCCATTGAGGTTGGGGTGTAATTGCAGCGTTGAGCCTCTGCAAGCCAAGCTGAAAATAATCAGCGAGGCAGATGGGGTGGGAAGAGTGTGGTGGCCACTGCCCAAAGAGCAAGAGAAACCCAATGGAGTGAGTCAGAGAGAGGCAAGGGCCAGGCTGGGCCTGCTGGGCTTATGGCTGGGAGTTCAGTTAAGGGGAAACTGCCCAAGCTGTTGGGGCCTTTGACTGAGGTCCTATCCAAGGTGGTTCCTGCCTGCGCATCACAAGTCCATATTTCCTGTGACAGCCACTAAACTTCTCTTGCTCTTACTCAGTTGGGCCATAGCGGCCAGTAGGCCATACGCGAATTAGCCATCCAGACGGCTCACCCATCTCTAGAGCAGGGTTGGCTCTATTGGCATGTTGGGCTGGATAATTCTTTGTTGTAGGGGGCTGTCTTATGCATTGTATGGTGTTTAGGAATACCCTTGGCCTCTACCCTCTAGATGCCAGTAGCGCACACACACACACACACACACACACACACACACACACAGTCCTGACTATCAAAAATGTCAGGCATGCCAAATGTTCTTGGGAGGCAAAATCACCCCTGGTTGAGAACCATTCGTCTAGAGTGATCCAGGCTTCTAGAAGGGTCACATCACCTGTCCCAGTGGTGGCCTCACTGCCTCGCATAATATCTGAATGTGTCCTGATAAAAACTATTGGCTAACTACCATTTCCAATGACAACCGTTGAGTACTCCGGACCCAGCATGAGTGCCAACTGTGCCAGGCACTAGACAAGGTCCTGAGAATAAAGCAGCAAACAGGACGGACATGCCCCTGTCCTCACGGAAATGACAGGTGGAGTGGGGGCAAGACGGGCATTAAACAACCCTGAGTGAGAGGTGTGTAAAGAAGAGAAGTGGGGTACTGAAAGAAAGTCAAAGAAGGTTTCTCACCTAGGTTATGGGGTCAAGAAGGGTGCTTGGGGGAAATGAGAAATTAACCAGTGGGAGATTGGAGGGTGAGGCAGTGTTCCTGAATAGGGACAGAGTGCTCAGAAGCCCTGAGTTAAGAGAGAATGTCAGACATTCAAGGAACTCAAAGAAGTCTGTCATGGACCAGGCTTAGGACGCTGGGAAGTCCTTTTCTCCTCTCTCCCCACAGCTTGCTTTCCCTCTACTCCTTCCCCGGGTTTCTAGCACAAGCATATAAACTTAGAATCATATTAAACCATATTTAAAACCCCACTTGTCCTTGCTCAAACCCCCACCCCTTAGTCACCCAGTTACCAAGTTTTGTCATTTTACCACCAAAATCTCCTTGTCTCCATTCCCACCACCACAGCCCTAATGCAGGCTCTCTTCATTACTCAGCCGAATTTGTGAAATAGCTTCCTAACGAGTCATCTTCCAGGCTCTTCCTCAAAGGAAGACAGAGATCTGACCATGTCTCCGCTGGCTTGCAAACCCTGCAGGCTTCAGAGGTCTGTTGGAGAGGCTGCTGCCTCCGTGGCTTTTATTCAGTAACAGCTCCCAGCTACCTCCCACCCTCCCACTCTCTAGCCACACAGGACCACTAGCCACACCTGGTGGGCCTTCGCACCTCTGTGATTTTGCTGTTCTCTTTGTCTGGACTGCCCTTCCCCCACCAAAATCATTTGGGGAATTCCCACATATCCTTTAAGACCTAGACAAAATGAG